ATGAGGTAGTTGGCGTTCGGCGCAAACACAGCGCAGACGTGGGTCGTTGTTGCATGCTGGGTGCAATACGAGCGGTGACGGCCGCCGGCAAACGTCACGTTGCCACCGCGATGGAACGTCGGCAGCGAGATGACGACTGTCCCGATCGTGTGCGGCAGTCGCGAGGCTGGCGTTAGGCACGCCGACGAGCCAGTCGCATCCAACGCCACATGGGCCAGCGCGAGTCGGAAGCGCGAGGTCGGCCACAGCACGTCCCACACGATCGGCTCGACACGCGCCAAGGTCTTGCGCCACGCATTGGTATTGTCGACGCGCGCGCTCATCGCTGGCAAAAGCACGACGCCCGGCGAGAGCGTGTACGCGACTGCAAGTTGGTCGACCTCGTGCACTGCAAGCGGGCACGCCAGCACCTTGGGCATCGTATCGACGCGGAGCCGCGGCGCCACGGTATACGGAAGCTCGAACGCATCAACCGCCGTCGTCAGCTGCGGCGTCTTCAGCTGGGTGGCGACGGCTTCGTACGCGGCCTTGGCATCGCTTGCTGCCATCTTCAAGCCGGCAAATCGCGAAATCAGCTCCTCGATCTGCATTTGGCTCTATGTTTTAAACATGTATCGATTGTTTGAAACATACTTGTTTCAAACCGGTCAAGTCGACGGGGTTTGCAGGCGGCAGGTGGGCCGCGGTGCCATGCACTGAAGATGCGACCGAGCTGTACCTCGACGTAGCACAAGGTAAGGCGACCGAGCGTCACGGCCACAAGGCTCCCGGAGCGCCGATCACCACGTCGCCGCCATGGCACACGAGCAAACTGTCGACACCGACAACGTGCACTGCCGATCCACTTTGGCTTGAAACGAGGCGGGCGCGAGGAAGCTCGAGGCGACCATACAGGGCCGCGCCAGCGTGCTGCTTGCGGTGGCACAGATAGGCGTATGCTGGCGCGACTTGTGGCGCTGGCCCATCGAGCTCCAGACGACGCGACAACATGCGCACACCTCTGCGACTGCATGCTGCTTGCCTGCCTCTTGTTCGCGCACGATCGAGACGCTTTCGAGGAGGCGGCTGTTGTCGCATCCATAGATCAGTTGGGATGACAGGACTCAAGCCCTGGACCTAGGCGCCATGGGTCTGTCGTCGTGTGAAGCTTCTGCTCCTCAAGGACGTACTACAGTGTACTGCGGAAGCAGCTTGTCTCGACCTGCGTACGCGTGCTTGGACCAACCATGCACTCGCCACATGCATTACTCCAACGCTATTTCGTACGCAGTCTACCCTACGAACGTTTCTCGTCGGTGGGCCAGCGCCGCCCGTGTGCGCGTCACGAGCTCTTCCATGCGACGGCGTCGGCGCATCGTCGACGTCGTCGTCGTGTCCAAGTGCTCGAGGCGCAAGCAGAGTTCTCGTAGCGAGAGCTGTCCAGGTTGCCGTACCTTGACAAAATCAATGACGATCGCAGGGTCCGCCAGCGCGTAGCCCGTGCCATCCGTGTCCAAGGCGATCTCACCGAGAATCTCGAGCCCACGGAGCGTCGTCGCCTGCAGCTGCAGCGGATGCGCCGCGACAACGTCCGAGATGGCGTCGCAGACCTGATGGGCGTAGCACCGGCGGTATGCGTCCACCGGCGAGAGCAAGAAGCGACCAAACTCGACGCAGTACGCGCAGCACGTCGGTGCAAACGCCACGTCGTCGAGGCAGTAGTCGGTGTACACCTTGGGGCAGTACGGCGTCACCTCAATGTACGCAAGCCCGAGCCGCACGAGCACGTCGCCGTCGTCGACGCTTAGCGTCGACGTCAAGTACATGGTCCACTCGTAGTGCAGGTTCAGATCTCCGTTGCCTGCGAGCCACATGTCGACAAAGACAAGGACAGTCGCGCGGTCGTACGTCCGAAAGTACTCCAAGGCGCAGACGAGCACGAGCATGCGCGTATCGTGGCCTGCGCACCGCTCGTTGGCGTCGAAATACGCCGCCAGCACATCGTCCATCACCGGCCGCACCGGACGGTTGGAGCACGTCGCGTCCAAGATCGTTGCCGACGCCATTGCGCAAAAGGCGGGCGTCACGAGGCGCGGGCATTGGCGGGCGAAAGCGACGAGCGCGGGTACGACGGCGATGCCTCGGTCGTGCAGACACCGCGAGAGCACGCTCTCGAGGATGTTGGCGCAGTCGCCGGCAACGACGAGACCCACGACCGCCTCGACACTGTAGCGGACGTCGTCGCCGTCGTAGTCGTCGAGCATGACAGCGTAAATGACGCGGGCGGCGTACGGGAGGAGGTCCATGGCGACGTTTTGGGCGGCGAGAATACCAAGCGCGACGCCAAGGTCGTACAGTGGATGGTAGAGCACGCCGTCGGTGACGTCGAGCAGGCGCACGGCCGGCGTCAAATACGACGAGACGAGCGCTACGATCGGGTCCGGCAGCCGGTTGTAGAGCCATCGCCCTTGGAGAGCGTGCTGCTGGGC